TCTGTACAAAAGTCAACCCTTTTAAATTCAAAAGACATGTTTATTGTCCAAGAGACATATCCCTTCATAAAAGAACCTTCCAAAGGGTCTAGATGCATTGAATCACTCTATGGGGCATTTAGAAAAAGTGTCCCTTTTAAAATTTGTGCAAAATTTATCTCAAACCTCCTTAATCTGCAAACAGTCATTTTAGGTGCTTTAAGTGTTGGGTCTAGCGCTTCAGGCGCCAACTTGATTAAAACAACATTGTTTTGGGTTTCAGCGCTTTAGGCACCAAATCTGGCTCTTCAGGCACCGGCACTCTGCCAAATGATACTTCAGGTGTCAATTATGGCACTTCAGGAGTCACCTCTGTATAAAGTGGAGCTTCAGGAGCCAGAATCCCAAAATTTATTATTTTAGCTCTAAATTTCATCATTTTTGCTACTTTTGCTCCAAATACCTTAAATTGATATACCTGCAACAAAATCATGAAAATAACCTTTTTAAAAGTACAATATCACTAAAAATAAGCTTAAAATGTATACTTAAAACAACATATTATTTTTGGGTATCAAAATCCCCCATACTTAAATGTTACTTGTCCTCAAATAACCCTTTTACTACATATAAGCATATGACTTAGGATAGAGATAACCTTATAACTTCTACACTATTACTACATAAAGTTTTATGATACTATCAGCTGGGATCTCATATTAAATATATTGCGGGCCAGAAGTTTTCAGAATAATTTTTGCTCCCTTATTCATAGATGGTTGGTGAATAATCATTATTCTGTTCTAGTTAACGGAAATTCTTATGGATTCTTTTCTACCACAAGGGGAATTAAACAGGGAGATTCTTTATCCCCTAAAATTTTTATTTTAACTTTTGATTATTTCTCCAGATTAATTAATAATTTGCCGATGAACAAACTTTATACTCAATTATCACATAAATCTTCTATTATGGTTAGCCATTTGGCGTATGCTGATGATGATATAATTTTCAGTAATACTAGTAAATCAACCATTAAAGCTCTTATGCAAGTACTAGATACTTTTCAAGATAATTCTGGTCTGGTTTTCAGCAATGATAAATGCAATATGTGTTTTGGGAATTCTGTCAAAAGCTCTACTGTGATTTGAAGTAATAATTACACTGGGTTTCATGCTTCCTCCTTGCCCCTGAAATATTTGGGAGTAAATTTGCTTAAGGGCCGTCGAAAGCAAATACAATTAGATGAAGTTGTGGAAAAGATCAAAAATAGAATTAATGATTGGAGTAATTATTTCCTGTTTAATGGGCATTACCCTCCTCAGAAATGTTCTATTAAGTATCCCTTTATTTGCTCTTCAAATCTTGAATCTTAAGAAAAGCAATCAGATCCAATTAGAAAGATTATTTAATCAATTTTTGTGGTCGGGTAACCAATCTAGAAAGCATTGAGCGTCATTTGATAAAGTTGCCAAGCCTATTGCAACTGGGGTTCTTGGTTTAAAGAGTTTGAAGCAAATCTCTGATATTAGTATGTGCAAGTTGTCGTTCAAATTTTGTGCTAATACTTCATTATGGGCTCGCTTTCTTCTTCATAAATATTATACTAAGTCAAATCCGACTATAGTTCAGTGGAAATTGGGGGATTCTAAGAGTTGGAAAGTTATTTTGAAAGCAAGGGTGGTCGTGAGAAAATTCATATTTTGGCATTTGGGTGAAGGCAATATTTCCTTTTGGCACGATAATTGGGGCTTAGGGGATATGGTATTATCTATTACTTCTCCTCAGAATAATAAATTGGCTATCTCTGATGTTTGGTTGGACGGAAATCAGGATGTTAATAAATTAAGGTCTCTTATTGGGGATATAACTGAGTTTGTTACTAAGATTCCTATTAAGAAGATGGGCAAAGATACCCCCATTTGAAAAAATTCCTATAACGTATCTCCTTTGAAGCTATTGTATTTGAATATATATTTTCATGAAAAATGGCGGTGGGGTAAAATTATTTGGAATAATTTTCTAACTCCCTCTATCTCTTTTTTCTTATGGAGATTTTTTTCTTAATATGCTTCCTCTTGATGATATTCTTAAACTTAAAGGGTTGAAATTTTCTTCACAATGTCATTTATGCAAGAATGAAGAGGAATCAATGGTGCATATTTTCTTCTAGTGTTCTTATGGTAAAGAAATTTGGATACATTGGGAAAACACTTTCATATTAATTGGTGTTATTGTAATGATATCAAAAGCTACATTTTCAAGTGGAGGGCTGCAGATAGGATGGATTCCAAATTAGCTAGCTTCCTTTATTTGTCATTTGGTTTATTTGGGTGGCAAGGAGTGATCATAAATATCAAAATTTGGGCTTGTTCGCGACTAATATGGTTGCTTATATTCTTTCTTATTTATTCCATGCTAGCCGTAATTTGGGGTTGAATGCTGATTTACATCCACCAAAGGTGGGTAGGATGACCACTATTATTAAGTTGCAACCCCCTCCTAAAGGTTGGATCAAAGTGACTATTGATGGAAGTTGGACTTCCAAGGCAGCTAGAGGTGTTTTTAGAGATTATTTAGGCTTGTGCAAATGTTTCTTTGCTTCTCCAATTATTGCTTCATCCCCTTTTGAGGTTGAATGCTGGTCATTTTTACTCTCTCTGAAGGTGGCTATTGGTTTTAAATTCTCAAATCTGATTATTGAGACTGATTCGTTTAATCTCTATAAGAAGTTTGATATGAATAATACACCTAAATGGAATGTCTTGGTAATTTAGAATAGAATAAGAGAGCTTATTCATAAGTTTAATATTTCTATTCTTTTGTCACATATCCTAAGGGAGGGCAACTCCCCGGCAGATTGGTTGGCTAGAAGGGGTAAAATAGAGGAAAAGTTATTTGTTGGTGTTTCACCTGGGAATCATCTAAAATATCTTCTGAAGGGGGACTCTATGGATTTACCTTATATTAGGCCATGAGAAAATTTATTTTATGGATATTGAAGGCTGTAATGCTTGTTCGGAGGGATTTATCTATAGTTGCTTTGAAGGCATGAATATGGCTATGGTTTTTAAAAAAAGGTGGAGATTTAAATTCAATTCTTATGATGCTTTTACATCCCATCGAAAATATCTGATGTTTAAGGCTAATTGATGTATGCATGAATTTATTTAGCCTTAATGTATATTTTGGCATGGGAGTAATTAAAGGCTTTTAGGTACTTTTTGTGGTAACTTTTATGTCATGGGAAGATGCCTAAATTTAAATAGTTGGATCATTTTTTATTTTTTTAGATGCATAAGTTGCATGAGGACTATCAAATTTATGTTATTTGATGCAATTTGGTAAGATATTTACGGTAAATTTGGCAAGGCCTATTTCGATGCCATGATTATCAAAATTCGGCATTTATGGCTGCCGTGATTATCAAATATTTGGCATATTTGGCTGCAGCAATTACGATTTTAATAGCTGCACATTTGGCGTGAAACTTATTATATTCGGCTATTTGTTGTATATTTGTCATGGGATATGGCAGATTTGCTTTATAACCATTTTATCTACAATTAAGTTGCGTTTTTTTTTTTGTTTTTATGGAATTCAGTGACATCATTTAGGATTGTAATAAAATACAATCAAGGAATGGAGATTTATGGCAGTGTTTTAGGTGAACCTAATTTTTTGATTGTGTATCATAAACAGTTACATGAAGATTTATTGTGGAGGATTTCTGAAGGGCTTTTACACTAATAATTCGCACCATATGAAGTATATTTTTGTTTTGTTTGCAGGATGTAAAACTTGGATTTTGGGATAGGATGGTATTACGATTTTATTTTCTGGTATCAAGTAAGGTGGTCGGCAGCCTCTTGAGATCATCAAACTATACAAAGCAACTAGTTCTGATCCTTTGTATCTCTGAATTTATTTATTTTGGGTTTTTAAATTTTATTTTGGGTATACCTGTATCAGTTTGGTCATAGTTTTGATTTTTTTAGGTTTATTTTACTTGTTTGATGGGTGGAGTTGTAAACGGTGGAGGATCCCTTTTATTGAGTGAGTTATGTATTTTTTTCTTTTCTATTTGAGGAATCCTTTACCACCAAATTATGTACCCTTTTATTTAAATTAATGCGTAGGGAGACAAATAATGCTCCTTTAAATAATATATATATATATATATATATATTTGATGTCCCTCACATCAAACAACAAAACAAATTCCAACACCCTATTAAAAAAAATAAAATAAGAACAAAAAATTGCTATATAAAATGATTTCAGAGAGCACTTTGATCCCATATATGCAGGGTAAAATCATTATATAAATATATTATTTATATAATATAAAAGAATTTCAGTCTTTCCAGGTGAGGCCACAACGCCAAGAACAGTGCAGAAGCTCTTCCAATATATATATGTCTATACAAGCCTCATTTCAGGTTCCGCTTTAGCTCAAAATATTGCTGCAAAAAGTAATGAAGAGGTATGAGATACAAATCATATCTATAGAACATATCACTTAATTCTTATATATTTACATATCTAACACATAAACTTCAATTTTTTACATACATGTCACCTTACCTATGCATGAAAAAGTGCATTTTTGTTTTCTTTTGTTTTGATGCATACATGTAGATCACGCGGGTCTCTCTTTTGTACATCATAGATACATACATGTATAGTTTTCGTAACCTTTTGATTTTATTTTCATGCAAAATGCCAGTATTCACAAAAAAGTGCATTTTACTTTAGTTATTTTTATGTGATATGAAAGGTTTGGGTGGTACAAATGTAAAAAACCACACAATATCAAAGATACTATGGCTTCTTGTTGGTTGGTGGGTGGTGATTTTAATTGCATTGCCACCTCTGCTGAAAAATATGGTGTTAGAACCCCCAATTTAGCCAAAATTAATCCTTTCTCTGGTAATATAATTTAGTCTGGCTTATTTGATATTGGCTTCAAGGGTCCAAAATTTACTTGGAAAAGAGGGAATCTCCAGAAGAGACTTGACATGATTTTGGTCAATGATTTATGGTGTCAGCATTTCCTACATACCTTTGTTACTCATCGAAGCCTTATAGGTTCAGACCACAGGCCTCTTTTGATCTCCATTGCTGCTTCTGATCCTCCAAGTTCTCCTCCTCCTTTTAGATATCTCAATATGTGGTATGACCACCCTTCTTTTTTTAATATTGTGACTGATGCTTGGTACACTTCTATGATTTTGGACCCTTGGTCCAAACTAGTCTATTTTCATTTAAAGGTTAGTAAAGCACTAAATGATTGGGGTTGGAGTTCCTTTGGAAATGTTTTTCCTACTGTGGAATCTGCTGAAAATGAGGTGCTGGAGTTGGAGAAGACTGTTTTGGCAGATGGTGGGGAGGAGACTTTATTATTAGATGCTCAAAAGAAACTAATCACCATTGATATGGAAGATAAATTTCTTAAGCAAAAAGCTACCATCAGTCACTTCAAGGAAGGGGATAGGAACACGAAGTTTTACCATGCATGCATCAAGTATAAAAGACGGTGTAATACCATCCACAACCTTCAGAATTTTGAAGGAATATGAATTTCTGAAAATACATCCATTGCTCTAGATGATGTTTCATACTTTCAGCAGATTTGAACTCAACCTGCTACCCAAAGAATACCTATAGACAATACTTACTCTACTAAAGTGATTTCCTACGCCTCTAATCACACTCTGACTCACCTTCCGATTGAGCTTGAAGTTTGGCAGGCCCTCCAATGAATTAATAGCTATAAAACTTCTTGATCTAATGGATTTACCTTTGATTTTTAGAAGAATACCTGAGATATTATAAAAGATGAGGTGGTTGCTGCAATTCAAAGTTTTTTCCAAGGCTCTTCTATCCCTCAGTACTTCAATGCTTCTAGTATTGTACTCATCCTTAAATCTTCTGATCAGAAGAATTGGAATGAGTATCGACCATTAGTCTCACTTCTATTATCAGTAAACTTATCAGTAAGATCATTGTTGGCAGACTCTAGCCCCACCTTGGTAGAGTTATTTGTGAAAATCAATCTGCATTTGTCAAGGGCAGACCTATTACAGACAATGTTCTCCTTGCCCAAGAGCTTCCTCTGGATTTGGACAAACCTTGCAAGGGTGGTAATCTAACCTATAAATTAGACATCAGAAAAGCTTATGACACAATATGCGGGGAATTCATTTTGGATTTTCTATCTACTAGAGGTTTTCAAACTGATTTTTGTAATCTCATACACGGGTGGCTTAAATATAATATTCATTCTATTCTTATTAATGGACAAGCTTGGGTATATTTTTCTGCTTCAAGAGGCTTAAAACAAAGAGATCCTCTTTCTCCCACAATATTCATATTGGCTCTTGACTATCTCTTCATAATGTTCAACAGAAGCCTCCTCCCTTACAGTTATGCTTGGTATCATCATAAATCTAAAGTAGTTGTTTCTCATCTTGTTTATCTAGATGACATTATGGTGTTGTTTTCTAGTGCTAACAAGATGCAGCGAAGAAAGTAATTAAATGCTTTCCTCTATTCCAAATGCATTCTGGTTTGAAATTTAACACAGACAAGTGCAATGTTTATTTCAATCATAACACCCCCTGATTCATAAGCAATTGATCCTTGATTATACTAGATTTGCTAATTCCAAATTGCCAATCAAGTATCTTGGAGTTCAGCTGGTAAAAGGTAGATCAAAGCAAACTAAATTTGAGGATGTGCTGGGGAAAATCTCTTCCACTCAATCTAGTTGGACACACTATTTTCTACCTAATGGGGGTCAAATTACTTTGTTGAAGAGCATTCTTAATGATTTTCCCTCCAGCATTCTCAAAATGACTACTATGAAGAAAAGTACTCAATTGCAGTTTGAAAGGTCTTTTAATATATTTCTTTGGGCTGGTCAGAGGCAACAACTTCTTTGGGCTAGTTGGCAAAAGTTAGTTAAACCCACTTTGGCTGGTGGCATTGGTTTTAAAGGTCTGCAGGACCTCATTCAAGTCAACCTTTGTAAGCTTTCGATCAAGTTTAGAGAGCAACATTCTCTTTGGGCAAAATTTATTTTGGGTAAGTATTGCAAGGATAGTCATCCAATTACTGTGAACAAAAAACTTGGGGATTCCAGGGTACGGGCCAGTATGCCCAGAGTCAGGAACCAGACTGAAGAATTATTCCTTTGAGATATTGGTAATGGTAAAATTAATTTCTGGCTGGATTCCTGATGTCCCAAAGAGATGCTGCAACCTATTTATGAGCATACCAATACTCATTTAGCAATGGCTGACTGCTGAATTGGGGACTCCTGGTCACTGCCTTTTCTCCAAACTATTCTACAGGAACAGTCTGCTATGCAAATTAGCAAAATTCAGTTTGACCGATCTAGAGCTGACATACTGGTTTGGCAAGGATGTATGCATCAGAGCCTAACTAAATCAATTTATCTTAAACTCAACATTTGAGAACAAAAGCTTTGAGGAGATCTCATTTGGCAGAAAGTTTTTTCCTCTTCTATGTCATTTTTCAGCTGGAGAATTCTACATGGGCTGATCCCCACTGATGATATCCTTAAGTTCACAGGATTAAGAGGTCCTTCTCAATGTTATTTATGTGGTGAGGAGGAGGAATCTGCTCCTCTTTTATTCTTTAAGTGCAGATAATCTAAAAAGGTATGGGTTACCTTCTCTAAACATCCAAATCTGAATACTATTCAGTTGGATGGTCTAATATTTATTCTTTTTGGAAGGGCTGGAAGTCTGCTAAGGTTGGCATCATCCCTTTCATGGTGGCCTGGTTCCTTTGGATGGCTAGGAACAAGGAAAAATTTGAAGGACAGACTCATTGTGTCACAAGTGACCAGAAACTGTATCTGCTATCTTCATAAATTAATACACCACCAAAGATTCCCATACATCTGCTCTACATCCTCACTTGAAAGGTCTTCTACCCCCAGAGTTTCTACAATTTATTGGATTCGTCTGGACTGTCCATTCATCAAAATTAATACAGATGATAGTTTCTCTCAGTTGGGTGCTGGTGTGGGTGGAGAGTTCTGGGACCATACTAGACACTGTTTATTATTTTTTCAGGCTCTTGTCTGTGCTAATGATGCACTTGAAGCTGAGTTGATTCCTGTTTTTTGGGCTCTTACCCTTGCTAAGATGAATCAGTGGCACCATTTATTACATGAAGGAGATTCATAAATCCTTTTACAAATGTTGCAGGACGGAAGGCACTCATCTTGGTACCATTTACAATGGGTTAACAAAATTTAGGACATGATTGCTAGTATGAATGTTCAGCTTTCCTTTATTTATAGGGAAGAGAATTGACCTGCAAATTGGCTTGCTAGGTCTGGACTATTCTCCCTTGACTGTGTTGTATGCTACCCCCCCCTCTTCTCCTCTCCTTTTTTTTTTCTGTCTGGCGATACTCTACAAGCTCCCCATTTAAGAATTGTAACTTGAACTTTAGTTAATGAAACACTAACCTTTTAATCTCTCTCTCTCTCTCTCTCTCTCTCTGTATATATATATATATTCACTCTCTCTCCTTTCTCTATCTCACTATCGATTGGTCTAACAAAAAAATAAATAAAAATTAAAAAAGAAACTTTTTAGTACTCCTTATTTTCTTCCCGGCTGCACTATTTCTTTTTTCCAAAACTACACGCCATTCTCTATCTCTCTCTCTCTCGGTGGCAGTTGAAACCTCACCTCCATTCTCCCCATTTCGGTAAGCTCCAACCCTTCCAAAATTGGCTAAATCCTTTCCTCGTCCTACACTCGACCGAGACAACTCCTCCCCCTTCTTTCCCGAGAGCTGCCACCCCATCTTCCCTCCAATCACAAGTCTGACCTCCCCTCACTTCACCTCACACGATGGCACCTCTATGCCCTCTCTCATCAGACCAAAGCAGCTGAACATATCTCCTCTCTCCTCCCTTTCCTCCTGTTTAAATACATGGCTCCTTCTAACAGCCAACAGCAACCCAAAAAAAAAAAAAAACAGTCCTCCCTTCACTCTAACGGCAAGCAATCACCTCCCTTCACACCTCACCTCACGGCAGCCCCCCTTCCTCCTCTCCCTTCTTCTTCTTCCTCCTCCGACGATCTTCCCTTCAGTGAGCTTGTTCAGGCAAACTCCTCGCTCCCACAAGGCTTCGATCTGGTACTCCTCTTCCCTCTCTTCTTTCTTCTTCCTCGCCTAAACCAGGTAAAAAAAAAAAGAGGAATTTTACATACATGCCACCCAATTCTTATGTATTTGCATAT